TGAACAGTGCCAAGTGAATGCTTCTTGCATTGCAGGTGAATTATAATTCACTCGGGCACTCTTCACTTCTTTGAGTGAACAGTGCCAAGTTGAATTAATTCACTTAGCATCGCCTAGCATGGGCACTATTATGAATAGTGTCCAGGTAAATAAAGAAAAGCCAATGGAGAGAAGCAGCTACTAGCTGCTTTTGCAAAACCCCGGTTTGATGGAAAAAATTATGGGGCCCACTAAATAAAAAAGTGTTTTTCTTAGGTTACCAAACGCTTAGTTTTCGCGGTTTGCTTTAAAAGCTAAAGCTACCGCGTAAACAAATACCCACTAAATTACCATGTTGTTTCTGGATTGAAAATATGGAAGCGTCCAGGGTGGGGTAATGAGCTTTTTTTTTTTGGCTGATTTATTGGTCCCTAAGAAATTATTGGGGTATGTTAATATTTTTTTAATTTTTTATATAATAAAAATATATTTTAACTCTCAAAATTAATAAAATTTAAAATTGTTTGTCAAATGTTTTTCATCTTTTAAAAATACTTATTTACCACCAATATAATATACATATATATAAAAAATGTTCTTCATCAAGAGTTTTTTTCTTCTCTTTTTTAGTAGACATTAAAAATTTGTAGTTAAATAATGTATATGTTTGGAGTGTTTTTGTCCTTTAACATGGTTTTTTTAATTCTCTTTCTTTTTTATTTAAAATAGCTATTAATACATGTTATTTGGATGGCATATGCAACGCTATCCAGTAACATAACTTGACATTCCACTATGTTATTGGAAGTGACATTATATCCTCTTTCTTGTAATATAGCGCTTGACAATGTATGATGGTCGAATTGTTATTAGTGGTTATTTCTTTCTTTTTTTATTTAAAGTTGTTCTTATTACTCCTTAAGAAATGGTTGGCATCTGCACTATTTGGATGGCATATGCAACGCTATCCAGTAACATAACTTGACATCCCACTATGTTATTGGAAGTGACATTATATCCTATTTCTTGTAATAAAGCGCTTGACAATGTATGATGGTTGAATTGTTATTAGTGGTTATTTCTTTTTTTTTCTCTCTCTCTTACAAGAAAAAATGCACGATTTATCTTCTTTGTTTTTGGTTTTTCAATTTTAGTTCTTATTCTTTTGATTCTTTTGAGTTTTGTTTTCATTTTTTTATAAGATTTTATTTATTTTCAATTTAGTCATTCAAATATAATTTCTCATATATTTTTTTATTTTTATTTTGATCTTTATTCTTTTTATTTTTATTTTTTTCCCTTTTATTAAAGTTTTATTGGCTTTGAATTTAACCCTCCAATTAAAAAATTTTGTTTGCCCTCTAATTTATTTTTTATTTTTATTTTTACTCTCATTATCTTAATTACAATTTTTTTAGATCTTTATGTGTAATTGACTTTTTTTTTTCAGTTTCAACATTAGCCATTTGATTTATTAAGAATTAGACTTCATATTTTTTTTTATAGTGCTTTTGATCTATTGACCTTAGTCACATGTTTGAAAAATTAATATCATTTGATTGCTCACTTTCTTTTACTATATTGTCATTGTACATTACTTTTTTTAATAAAAAAAATTGTTTGTGATTATCTATAATTTTTTTTATATAAATTATTCTCAGTCTTATGACCTAAATCACGAGTTTTGTATGACCACTTCTTCTTCAAAGATAACATATCTTAAATATTCCAATTCCTTCTCAAACATGAAACATTTTAATCTTTTTTTAAAAGAGTTTGTTATCCTTTAGTTTCTCCAAAATTAACCTAAGATTATTAAGGTGTAGTTCTAATGTAGAACTATACACCAATATAATATAAAAAAAACAATAAGATAAGTTTTCTCTAATAAAATAGCATTCATCAATGCATGAAATGTTATTAGTGTATTAGTTAATTCAAGAGGCATCACTTTGAACTCATAGTTGTGTCTTAAAGATTGTCTTTTTCACATCCTCTTCAAACATCCATAATGATGCCTAGACCTTAGGTTCAATTTAAAAAAGAACTTTGAACTATTAAGTTCATCCAAGGATTTATCTATCAATGAAATTGGAAACTTATATTTTTATGGTCAAATTATTTAACTTTTATTAGTTAATGCAAAATCTCCAAATGTTATTATTCTTCTTAACTAGTAGTATTAAATAAGCAAATGAACTATTGTTATGCCTAATTATTCAATTTCTTATCATTTATTTCACTAAATTCTCAAATTTCTTTTTATGCATATAAAAATTCTTATATGATTTTATGTGAACTTACATTTCCCTAAGAATTAATGGAATTTTACAATTCAAACTCATGGTAAGTGGCAATTATATAGGCTCTGTAAGTACAATGTTGAATTTTTTTAATAATGCTTCGATAACTAGATGTTGTATTGTATTCTATTTTGTTCTTATAGCTTTTATAGCTTTTATGGTGAAAAATTATCTAAGAAATCCATATAATCCCTCTCTAAAACTCTTATAACCTAGTTAAAGTGATTTATTATAGTCTAGCTTCCCTCACAATACCTCTCAGCTCAATCATTCTTCTATATTTCTTAAATAAAAACTTCATTTTTCTAAAATCAAATAAGATATGTGAACACACCCTTAACTAATACATTTCTAACACCAATGCATACCTTCTTAACTTTAAAACTAGTAAATCTACTTGGAATTTATAATCCTATATAAACCATAAAAATTTTAGAATGTGAGCATTGCATTTCATAACATTTCAATTAGTAATATTAACAACTAACATTATAGTCTTAACTATCTCAACTTTGATTTTAAATATCACTTATTTATTTATGAGGTTATGAGTGTTTCCATTATTTATTAGTATTACCGGATCTTTTCCTTGACAACTTTATCTAATTTTGAAGGTGTTGTGAGCATAGCTTTCTACTAATGTATTCGAAGATGATCAATACTTCTCAATCTTTTCTTCTTTTAATGATTTTTCTTTTCTTATTCTTCTGCTTAAAAAGTTTGTCTAATTTTGATTTTGAATTGGATTATAAATTGTTAACATGATTACATTAGTTATCTTATTTGAATAATGCATACTTGTAAATGTTGTTAGGTATTCATGATTATAACTTATTTTAACAACAAATCAAGTTCCTTTCATAACACAAGTGTAGATTATACCATATGGTTGGGCTATGAAAGTACTAAGTATTTGTTGTACTAAATACTATACAACATAAATCTAGATTAACCATTTAACAAGCACAATATTAAAAGTGAACAAGATAACAAATAAAAAATATGTTAGTATCAAACATTAAAGTCTATATTGAGTTTAAATTATACTTAGGCTTACACCATTAGTGTAACCTTTTCACCTTGACATAATAAACTTAACTAAACATTATGAAAAAGAAATATAAATAAACAAGATAAAAACATAAATAAGATATAAGTTAACTAAGTAAAGAAAATGAATAAAAGGTATAAGAGATTAATGAAAGTAAAACTTAAGCATTACAAAAAGTATGAAGAAAGAGAGCAAGAACATAATCTTGATCTGAAAATCAGGATGCCTTAATGCATGGAAAATATCTTCTTTTATATGCCAAAATTGAAAACTATTTATTTGTTGACTAATTATTGAGTGGGTGGCTAGATCTTGATTTAGTGACAATTCTTATCTTCTTGTCTGAACAAAACGTCATTACTAATATCAAAATTTGGACAAACTTGAATCATGAAAGTTCTAGAAAATTGTCTTATCTTTCACCAAGAAAAAAATTAAGGTCATATAAACTTCTAGAACTCAAGATATGAGTTGAACGCTAAACAATGTCAAAGTTGTAGGACAAATTCAAACTTCTCCGTTGTTGCTAAGATTTGGACTTCCAAACAGCAGAATTGAGTTTTGCATTTCACATTAATATTTTAGGCCTATATCTTAGCTTTTTAGCCATGTAAACCAAATTGAAATCTAAGATTTACAACTCCAAATATGATTCAATGACTGAACAGTATTTTAGTTTGGACTAAACCAACTTCTCTTTTCTAAGCTTAGTCTTCTCTTTGTCTTTTCACTTTCAATAGTTAAACCCATCAATCAATCTCTTGATTTATGTGATAAGCCTGAATTTAAAATGAATATTTATAATAAATTAAAAGTATCTTATATTATTAGATATGTTATTATAAAACATGTTATAGTTAAAGAGTTATTGATACTTTAAGTGCAAAATAATAATATAAAACCTTAATAAAAATACATTTTTAAGTACTAATCAGAACAAACTTATTCCTACATTTAAAACACAACCCAAATTTTTTTATTTGCTCATAAAAATTATTAGTTGATTGTTTAAAGTCATTTGACATTTCACCTCTAAATTGATTAATGGTTTCAATTGAAAATTACTTGCTAATCTTTCAAAGACATTTGTTATAGAAGTTTTTAGAATTAGTCTGCTTTTCTTGGCTATTACATAATTATATTCTTTTTTTCATTTGGTTAGCTCAAAAGATTGCATAAAAGTACTTGACTTGAGAATCTTTAATATTGGTTTAATATCTTTCTTAATGGTACTAATAAAGTTGGATATATAATATACTTTTAGCATGGAATTATTTAATAAACCCATTAATGATTTGAGTTTCTCAAATTTCTCCACATAATCTTCTACATCTTTCTATTGTTCCAGCTTGTTGAACTCTTATACTATATCATTACAAGTTTTAAATTTTATATAGATTGCCTTTAAGAACTTATCCTAGTTGGTTAAGTCATTACCTCGTACCAAAAATCTCTCATACCAAATCTCATTTATTCTTTCTAAGTATAAAAAATAAAATTTAATCCATTGGAGTACAAGTATGAAATACATCTTAGAAAGCTTTTTATACTTTTTAATCCAAACTTATAAGTTCTCTCTAAAAGAACTATGTCATTCCACTTTTGCTAAGGTTACATTATACCCTATAATATTACCTTTTTGAATTTTTATAATATCTTTATAATTGTTATTCCTTTAAGGGGGAGTATTTTTTTTAAAAATGTTAACATTCTCTCTTCTTTCATATTCACTATCTTAGTTAACCTTAAAGGAATTCAAGGTTGATAACATTGTCTCCATTTGCACTTGTAATTGTTCTATCTTCTTGCATAATTTTGCTCATTACATTTTAACTATGGCTTTAATTTCTTGTATTTTTTTAACAATATATTTATTATACTCTTCTAGAGTTATTATTCTTTTGTTGTCCACTATATTTATAAGTGATAAAATGTGATTGTTAGGATCTCTGGGACTTTGAAACCAATTTATCATGGAATATCCTTAACAATGGTGATTGATAATGAAATAATATGAGCTAAGAAGTAGAAAAAAGGAACAATAAAAAAGAAGCTTATGCAATTTACAAAAAAAAAACATTTAATTTCATTATTTGACTTACATGTCTCTCATATACTTTTATGTATACATCAAGGCTAAGTGATGTGATTTAACTTCATGAAACTTCCTTCCTAACTATTACAAATTGAGTCAACTAACTAATATCATATGTTTATTTAAATTCATCACATGTTAAGTGCCATGTTAAAGCCAATGTTATTGTTATTGTTGTTGTTGTTGTTATTATTATTATTATTATTATTATATATAAAAACTTAAAATGCATGAAGAATTTAGTATGCATCTAGAAACATATTACTATTCACCATAACATTGTAATTACCATTTTTCCATTTCAAAGAAAACCCTATGGTTTTGGTGTCAGGGATAGAGTGGTTTTTTTATTAATTACCATTAATCATTATAAGATTAATTAAGGCAATTTAGTCTTTTTATCATTCAAATACGCAGTATAATGATTATATTTCTCTAAAAAAAAATATTTTAAGAGATTACATGAGAAAAATTCGGTCTTTTTCTATTTTAAAAATAGAGTATAAAACTATAATACTTTTACGAGCAAAAATTGTTAAACTTGCATCCATGAGCTTTTTTTTTTCTCTTTTCATATTGATTTTTTAATAAAAAAATAAGTGGGGGCAATTTAATCTTTTAAATAATATAAATATTATAAAAAAAAATTTAGCATATATAGGGCACGCGTTACTAAGCAGGCAATGCTCACACCTTTATATGGTGCAGATGGTGTTGCCCCACCTCCAAATACCACTTTCTGAGACAGTGTTAGAAGTGGCTCGCTATCCTCTTTTCAAAGATGTCACATGTGTGCTTGGTGGAACAATGGTTAGGCTCTAACATACTTTTTTCTTCTCCCTCTTTTCTTTTATTCCTTTTGTCAAAATATAAAAATGTTATGTAATTTGTTTCTAGTTTTTAATTTGATCCTCATTATTTTGAATGCTATTTGTTTTGTTTTATTATCTTTTATCTGTTTTTAATTTCTCATTTTATCATTTAATTTCATTTAAATTTTATATCAAACTTGTCCCTACTCTTTTAATTTTTGTTTGTTTATTTTTAATCTTTTACAATTAAATTTTATTTTTAATTCCATCCATCAGTATTTAATTTCAAATCATTTTTAAATCAAATATAGTCCTCATTCTTTAAATTGTTATTTATTTTGTTTTGGATCATTTATTTATTGTATTTTATTTTTCAATTTTATCCCTTAGCATTTTGATGATTTGAAATTTCACTTCATTATTTTTTAGGATTTATCTTGTTTTATGTTAGTTCTAGGCTTATAACTAGAGTCATGAGTTTTGAAAGTTAACATGAGTTGACTTTTGTTTTTTTAATCCTTTAAAAACAATTAATTTTATCCTTCAACATTTAATTTAATAAGAATTATTCTTCATGTTTTTTTTTTCAATCTTCTTTCTATGGGTTATCTCAATTATGAGTTCATAATCTTAAGGTTAGCGATTTATCATTGTTTTTTTTTATTGTTCTACCTTTCAACATTAGATTATTTGATAATTGGATGTCATAGTTTTATTAAGTTTGCTTTTGACAGGATTATCCTGGTATCATGATCAGGTTGTAAATTTAACATACTAACTCAGATGGACTCAAATTGAGTTTTGTGGCCTTTTTTATGTTGTTAATTTTTTTTTGTAAATTTATTTATTATCATTGTATTTTTGTTATTAACATTATTTGAAGTAATTGAGTATATTAATCACAATTAAGTCAATGGTCCACTTTTTTAAGAACACTTGTATTGTTTTAGTATCTTTTTTTTTTCTATATTGAAAAAAAATAAGTCAACCTGGAGTGTATCGCAAGCCCTTATCTAGTTAGGATTTTTTTGGGAGCATAATAGATGTTATATTTTGAAGTACTTTTTTATTTGAAAATACATTAAAGTACTATACTATTTTTATTTAAAAAATTATTTTTAATATAAGAATAATCTAAAAACAAAAAAAAAAATTTGAAGCAAAAACATTTTTTAAAAAATATAAGTTGAATCAGAAAGGCAAATAGAAACTTAGGGGTCGTTTGTTTGCTCGGAAAGTGATTTCCTGGAAATCACTTTCCAAACTTTCCTGTATTTGTTTGTCAATATAAAAGTTGGTCAACAAAATACACTTTCCAGTCAAAGAAAATTTTAAATTGATTTTCAGAAAAGTATTTTTTTTTTATTTTGAACAGAAAACACTTTCTAGAAATTATAAAAAATTTAGAAATATCATATTATTTGCTAATTATATCAAAATTAATCCTCACACTTTTGATTGATATATCTTTTGTTTGATTTTTTTTTTCAATTTTATCCCTTAAAATTTAATTTAATTTAATTTTAGTCTTTATTTTTATGATTGTTATTTGTTTTTTTCTTATCATTTTTTTAATTAAAATTTCGTATCTATCAAATCACTTTTCAAATTTTCTCGTATTTGTTTGTCATTAGAAAAGTTTATCAACATAAATACTTTTTGATCAAAGAAAATTTTAGCTTGATATTTAGAAAAGTGTTTTCCTTTTATTTTGAGCGGAAAACACTTTCTAGAAGTTATAAAAAAATTAAAAATATCATAGTATTTGCTAATTATATCAAATTTGGTTCTCAAACTTTTAATTGATATATATTTTGTTTGAATCTTCTTCTTCTTCTTTTTTTTCAATTTTATTCCTTAAAATTTGATTTTTATATTAATTTTGATCCTTATTTTTATGATTGTTATTTGTTTTTTTTATTGAATCTTTTTATCTATCAAATTTGGTTCTCAATATTTTAAATGTTTCTTATTTTATTTAAAATAATTTATGAAATTATAATTATTATTATTATTTTAATTTCATCATATTTTAATTTTTTTATTTGTTAGATTTAATCTTTATTATTTTAATTATTATTTATTTTATTTAAGATAATTTATGAAATTAAATTTCTTTCAATTTCATTCTTATTCAACTTTTTAATTTGTAAGATTTGTTTATCATTATTTTAATAAATTTTAAAAAAATTAATAAGTTATATTTTAACTTTTTATAATATAATTAAATATTAAAAAATATTTTTTAATTTATTTTCATACTACTCCAAAACATTAAAAAATAATTTATTTTTTAAATATTTATTTATTAAAAAATTTACTTTCGAAAAAACAAAAAACAAAATTTCTTCAAACAGCGAACAAACGGAGCTTAGTTTGCCGTAACCAATCTTGTGCTTCTTCTACAAATTAGCATGACGTAACATTAACCCGTTTTAATCCACCCTCCAATGGAGATCCCAAACCCACCGTATTTCTCTTGTCATTCGGAGTCTTGTGCCCATCTCCTGCAAACTAGCCTTAAATCGAGGGAAGCTTTAAAAGGAAAATCAATCCATGCTCAAATGGTTAAATTAGGCCTTACCTTCAGTGTCTATTTAACGAACAACCTCATGAACTTGTATGCAAAAACCGGGTTTCTTTTAGATGCCCACGATTTATTCGATGAAATGCCTGTGAAGACCACTTTCTCATGGAACACAATTCTTTCTGGGTATGCGAAGCAGGGAAAATTAGAGAGAGCCCATCAGGTGTTTGATTTAATACCTGTTCGTGATTCTGTTTCGTGGACTACGATAATCGTGGGTTATAATCAAATGGGTCGTTTTGAAGATGCGATAAAGATTTTTGTAGATATGGTGAAGGATAAAGTTTTGCCGACCCAGTTCACACTTACTAATGTCCTTGCTTCTTGTGCTGCCACCGGGTCTCGAGGTATAGGGAAGAAGGTTCATTCTTTTGTTGTTAAATTAGGACTTCATGCGTGTGTTCCTGTTGCAAATTCGCTTTTAAACATGTATGCAAAGACAGGGGATTTGAAGATGGCCAAGGTTGTTTTTGATAGGATGAAGTTGAGGAACACATCAAGCTGGAATGCTATGATTTCCTTGCATATGAATTGCGGCAGGGTTGACCTCGCTCTTGCTCAGTTTGAGCTATTGAGTGAACGCGATATTGTTTCATGGAATTCAATGATTGCAGGATGCAATCAGCATGGTTTTGATAATGAAGCATTACAGTTCTTCTCTAGTATGTTAAAAGATACGTCTCTGAAGCCTGATAGGTTTTCCCTAGCAAGTGCTTTATCGGCTTGTGCCAATCTTGAGAAGTTGAGTTTTGGTAAACAAATTCATGGTTATATTGTTCGGACAATGTTCGACGCTTCAGGAGCTGTGGGAAATGCTTTGATCTCAATGTATGCAAAGTCTGGAGGAGTTGAAATTGCTCGAAGAATCATCGAGCAGAGTGGGATTTCAGATCTTGATGTGATAGCTTTTACGGCCTTATTGGATGGATATGTCAAGCTTGGTGATATAACCCCAGCCAGACAAATATTTAACTCATTGAAAGATCCCGATGTGGTTGCTTGGACTGCAATGATTGTAGGTTATGTACAGAATGGCTTAAATAATGATGCTATAGAGGTATTCAAAACAATGGTTAGTGAAGGGCCTCGGCCAAACAGTTTTACTCTAGCAGCTATGTTGAGTGCCAGTTCAAGTGTGACATCTTTGAATCATGGAAAACAAATTCATGCAAGTGCAATAAGATCAGGGGAGGCATTATCACCTTCTGTGGGCAATGCTCTGACTACGATGTATGCAAAAGCTGGAAGCATAAATGGTGCACGGAAAGTATTCAATCTTCTACGTCAGAACAGAGATACTGTCTCTTGGACTTCTATGATCATGGCTTTAGCTCAACATGGTCTTGGAGAAGAAGCCATAGAACTATTTGAACAGATGTTGGCACTTGGTATCAAGCCTGATCATATAACTTATGTCGGGGTGCTCTCTGCCTGTACACATGGAGGATTGGTGGAGCAGGGCCGAAACTATTTTGATTTGATGAAAAATGTACACAAAATTGATCCCACCCTGAGCCACTATGCATGCATGGTTGACCTATTTGGGCGTGCTGGATTGCTGCAAGAAGCATACAAATTTGTAGAAAATATGCCTACGGAACCAGATGTTATAGCTTGGGGTTCACTTTTATCTTCTTGTAAGGTTTATAAAAATGTTGATCTGGCAAAAGTTGCGGCAGAGAGACTGCTATTTATTGAGCCTAACAATAGTGGGGCATACTCTGCCCTTGCTAATGTGTATTCATCTTGTGGGAAATGGGATGATGCTGCAAAAATTAGAAAATTGATGAAGGCTAGAGGAGTTAAAAAGGAGCAAGGACTTAGTTGGGTTCAGATCCAGAACAAAACCCATGTATTTGGAGTGGAGGATGGTCTTCATCCACAGAAAGACGAAATCTATAAGATGATGGACAAGATCTGGAAGGAGATAAAAAAAATGGGTTTTGCTCCAGACACTGAATCTGTATTGCATGACCTTGAAGTAGAAGTGAAAGATCAGATTCTTAGATATCACAGCGAGAAACTTGCCATCGCATTTGGGATAATAAGTACTCCAGAAAACACTACATTGCGGATCATGAAGAACCTTCGAGTCTGTAATGACTGTCACAATGCCATCAAATTTATCTCCAAGCTTGTGGA